TATATATACATATATATATATATGTGTATATATATATATATATATATATATATATATATATAGAGAGAGAGAGAGGGAAAGGCGCGGCTTTTCATAATGCTTTTTGTCGCCTGAATGGTTGTGTAAAAATGAGTAAAGATAAAGTTTCTTATTAATCACAGCTGATTTTAGCGTAAATTAAACTTTTTTTAGCTGCGCCACGTGTCCCCATTTGTGTGATGTCATTTTGTTAGTGTGTAAGCAACCTTAAAATTAAAAAAAAAGTGTCCTACAAAAAAAGCCTACTGGGCTCCGGACGATAAAAGAGCCAATATGCAATTCCAGTTCAACGGATTTTCTCGCAGTGCAAGCATCAGAATGGAATTTCCTTGACGATCCACAATATTGACATCGGCACCACACGATTTCAAAAGAAAAATCATTTCCGGACACTGATTTCGGACGGCCAGTTCCAATGGTGTATGATTTATCAGAGGAATCACCCTGAGTTGTGCGCAAATTTCGCATGCTGTCGTCCCCGACGGATGCGCTCGATTCCCTCTTAAAAACAGTAATTAGCGCTATGCACCTGAGTGCCGGTTTGACCATGCGTTTTGATGGTTTCGTAAAACAGTCAGATCGTTAAGAATATGAATGACGGTTCTTTTACAGTTCCACAGGAGAAATCATTTTGAAAATGTTCTTGTTGGACATTTTTTGCACAAGCGGAAAGGGGCGTCGGTTGGGACGGCAGTTTTGCATTATGAGGCCTCATGAAGTTTCACCTTTCTAGTGTCTATGATTACCGTGAAGGAGGGATGCGGATAATTTTGCAACTTCAAGTTCACGTATTTTGACGCGAGATCTGGATATCCGTGGACGTTGATTTTAGACTCTTGAAGTCGAACCGGGCCAGAGATATGCTCGCAGAGTTTTAGCTCTCTAGTTCTTGTAGCTGCTAAGGCAATAGGTCCGAATACAAACACACACAGAGGGAGACGACTTCTGGATAGCAAATGAGTACAAAAAAGACATAAAAATCGAAAAATTGATTATTAGTTAGCTCAGTATTTTGCACGCAAAGTAAAACCACCTTTGTTTTGTTATGCATGGTATATTACCAGTAACCATACAACAGCCAGAATTGCAGTAACACATTGCTCGAAAATTGGGGTTATAATCAAAACGCATAAACAGCAAAACCAATTCTTTTTGCTTATGTGCTATAGCTATATGAAGGATATTTTTGATATCACATACAGTCCTGCAATTGTTCCATTGGATATTTTGCATTCAACAAAGTTAAAAACAAGGAAGAAAAACAAAGAATAATGCTACATTACTTCTGCGCTACCTAGATTACAACCAAGTAACAATTCATTTTAGTCCTCCATCTGAGACTCACTACTCAGCAAATACAACACTGAAATTATGTTTGTTTTGGTGAGAGATCGTAGCTGAAGGAAAAGATGGAGGCCTCAAGCCGCCCGGTAGCCGCCCTAAACAAATGACCCATGCTAAATATTGCAAGCTTTTGGCAGCTGAAGTCTAAAATCATTTGCGAAGCAGATAAGCGGATAAAAATAAAAAACACCCAAGACAATCTCACTAGTATAAAATAATTAACCGTTTATTTGCAAATCCAGCACCAGTAGCAGATCGATTAAACTGTTTATCCGACATACGCTTGCCAATAATACTTTCCATTGCAAACACATCGCCATTATGCATGGCCTGCACTTACTATGATTACAAATGAAAATCATTAAAAGTGATGGACAGCATCACAGGCGAATGGACTGTACTGAATTAAAAAGATTTTGGTTATAAAAGCGAACTTTCAACTATGCATTGTTGTAATTGCTTAATAGGTCGCTAGCCAAGAAAATTAGTGCTTTTTTGCCAATTTTATTCATGCAGACCATTCAAAATAAGATAATCAAGTGCAGAAATTTAAGGTCTTTCGAATAAAAAATATGTAACTGGCTCTAAAAATTTTTCAGGTATTTGTGAGAAAGCGTTAGTAAAGTGTTAATTCTAATAAAATTTCTATGGACCTCGAGAAGCTGCTCAGAAAAGTTGTCTGCTGCTTTGCCTTTGTTTCGCTGCTCAGTAAATGTAAATGAACGAGCTGGTTCTGGTGGAGTAATCGCTTGTGATGAACTCTCGCTACCTTCGCTGTTGAGTCGCTGACCTGTAACACGCTAAAAATTTTAGGCTTCAATCCCTAAATATTAATGCCGTGTGCCAGATGCAGCGATCTTTCGCGACGGTCCCTGTCATTTGTTTAGGAGCAGTTAACAAATAAATATATGGTATAACAAAAGGCACCAGATGCGCAGACCGCAAGGAAAGATAATGGTGAGAAAAAATGGTGCACAAGGATCAATAATATGCAAACTTTTCATTTTAGTGAGCGGTACTTGCAACTTCCAGAATTGTGCAACAAGCATAGCCAGGACTGTTGCGAAAGGTAGTAGATAGAATCTGTGACAACGAAAAAAAAGGCAGCTCAATCTCCGAATTAAAGAACATTTTCATTATCAATTCATCCTCGATCAGCGAGCGTGTGGACGTACGGATGGACAAACATTATTTGCCCTGGTATGATTTTCGCATAAAAAAATTGCATAGAAAAAAGATTAAGACTCGAACTGTTTATAAAGTAGTCTTTAATTGATACCTAGAGGGTTACTTTCAAAAGTTTCACTTAGCAATGATATTTCTCAGCCTTTCCGCTATAGCAGTCAGTCACTGCAGTGCAACAGTGTCGCGAGAACTTTAAAAATTGGTGAATCTGTGCAGCAAAATAAGTGTACATCTAAGAGATAATTTTTGTGCTTACTTTGAGGAAAGTGGAAACGCTGACGCAATCGCTTGGCGCTCATTGATAATGTCGACTTGTTTCTTGCCACTGCTTCCACTGACGTATGAGCTACAGGGGCACCGCACTCTTCCACCTCCATTTCAGGCACTGAAATTAATAAATGAGAAGTCAAAAATCAAAATTAATTGAGCCGGATATAACGGCACTGAAATTTGCACAAAAAAAATTTAAAAAAGGAAAAAAACAAAAAAGAAATCGAATTTTGTACAGTTCTGCATTGGTCGTGCCGTTTATCCAAAAAGCGACTACCAGATCAGGCGCATAGCGCAGTAGCGGACCGATATGATCATACATTTTTGTAACGTTTTTTCAGGCACAGCAGCTGGAAGCATTGCAGAGCAATGCTACAGTGATTCTTTCCTATCACATAGAGAATTTAACAGAATTTAAAATGATAGATCTGCTTTTAATTCTAGCGCGCCTACAAAGAAAATTAGCGAGCACGTTACAGTAACAGGCAGCGTCACTTTCATATCCAGTGTCAAGGATTTGAGTCCACTATCGAAATAATCGAGCCCCTTACGACTCATTTATTTATTTTCATAAAAAACAAAGGCTGGAACGCACCAGGCGAGCCGGTGCGATCATGCGTTTTTGCATCAAAAC